GATGTTTGAGGATCTCCTGTCGAAGTCCAACAAGTGAGCCCATGGATTTCAAGTCGTACTCTTCACGAAGATTGAGCCGCATAGTTCACTGTCTGATATGACGATATGGCCCGGACCGTGCCTCCAGTTGATGGCTAAGATCCGGCCATTGCAGGTATGATTGGGGAATGCGGGCCATCAAGTCAGTTCTTGTGGTCGCAGGAAGTTCGGCCCCCAGAGAGTTGCTACGGCCAGCTGTCGCATCGCTACAAAATGGAGCCTGAATTTGCTTCGGTCCTTTGCCGCAGCTTACGGATAGTCTGCACTGGACAACGAGGCTTTAAGCGAGCCGATCCCAGCTTGTCCGAGCAGGCAGTACTGATGAGGCAGGATCGCTGAGTCGATTGTGGTAGGGCAAAAATGGGTTGGTTGTATTTATGATATGTATGAGATGTATGAGATGTATGATATGTATGATACGTATGATACGAATGATATGTATGATATGTATGGCACGTATGATATGTGTGACATGTATGCATGCATCGTATCTGTGTATGTCGATATGTGTACGTGTAGATGTACATGTACATGTACATACACACATATACATATGTACATATATATAGTTAGACACATACACACCGCTCTCTCTTCGTGTTTTGCTGGGGTGTGAAAGGGGAGAACGGGGCGGGGCAGCCGTCATAAGGCCCCCAAACCCTGCGATCTAGTCAGTAGCCACAACAAGTCACAACCCGAACGCCGATGGACATGAACCCCGGAGAAAGGATGCATCTCGATGTAGCTTGTGGGTGTTGTTACGCCGATTGGGTCGGGCCTCGGATAGCTTTTGAAGCGCTCAAGAAGCAATGGGAAGCATTGCTTGCCAAATTGCCGTGGCCTCGCTGTTGGCGGCATGTCTCAGTGCCGAGAGTCATATTGCCTGGGGTCCGCTGAGCTTGTCCCAGAACAATGCTCTTCAGAATATGGAAGATGTGCACAAGTTCATCCAGGGTATCTACTATTCCAAGGCTCCTCAGGCAGGGAGCTAGAAGCCTAAGCAAAACATCACGCAGAGCACAGAAGGTGGGCATCTGGAAAACGAAACGTTTTGCCAAAGCTCAGAAAACTCAGGGGACGTTCCGGGAGATCTGGGGCGAGGTGACAGAAGGCCTCGCCTTCTTGGAGGGCTTGGCGCTGGGGTCAACGCCAGCCCTATGCTTCGCCATAGGCCTCGCTTCAAAGACGTGTGTTGAGAATGTTATGGGCCGGGGTAGTGTTTCGTGCCTCTGGAATTCCTCTAGTCATATGGTCTCTAAGTTGGGGTCCCTTTGGGGTCTTATATACATAGATAGCCAGATATCTGTATATAGTACGGCGCCCTTACAATAAGCACCCAAATAAGGGACCCTAGCTTCGAGAAATCCCCATGTACAGATGCGAGAAGCGACAAAAAATGTCCTAGGGTCCTAGGATCTTGCAGGCATGGAGCTCTATCACTGGTTCTACTTCCGCTGGAGGGATGGTGAGGTCCCCCTTGCGGAAGTCGATGACTCCGCACAGAGGCGCGCCGTGGCGCTGCTCTGGTGTGGGCTTGAAAATGCTGGATGCCTGAAGGCAGGGCCGTTTAGTAAGGGCGTAGGGCGTAGGGTTTAGGGTTTATGGCAAGCTCGAAAGGAATGCCAGAGCCACCAGAGTGCGACACTTGGTGCGCTTGGCTTTGTTGTCGGCTGCTCGTGTGAATTCAGGATGCCGCGCAGACGGAGGAGTCGATTCGCGGCTTCATGGAGATGGGGTGTCACATATTCTGGCAGCAGATGGTCATGATTGAAGCAGAGATCGGATTGGAGCTTTCAAGGCCGCATCCATGTAGAGGAACTCCTCTTTCACTGCGGTGCAACCTTGAGCTTTGCATAGCTTTTGCTGTAGCCCAAGTCCATGTTTACTTGCAGCATCTTCGCACCTGAAACAGGCGTGGAAATGTGCGACTGTCTGCCCGCGTACTCCGCAATGCCTCTGAACACTTCTCGCAGATGATGCGGCATCCGTACTTTTCAAGGTTCCCTTGGCAGCATCCCCACGATATGAACTTTAACCACGAGATGTTTCCTTCTCCTGGCCCTGTCTGGCCCAGCAAGATGCTGCCAATTGAGAGTTGGCTGGAGGCAGAGTGGCGAAGTCTTTGTTGAGATGCTCTTGAGAGAATGGTTGCGAGTGCATTCTGTAACTGCAATGCGGCCTTGCACCGCCGCGCACCGCCGCGCGCCGCCGCGCGCCACCGCGCGCCGCCGCGCACCGCCGCGCCACCGCATGGCGAGTGGTCTCTGCGCACTGGCGCACAGGCGCACCGCCGCACCCGAAAACAGATCCTCCTAGCCATCCCCCAGTTGCCAACAGACAACAATGTACCATGCGATCTACCCACCTATAACCGACCATCCAAGTAGTCCCCGCAGATGGCGCCGGCGCGGGCGGTATACGGCAACGGCGGCGCAAAGGCGTACGATGTGCCCGCATCGGCGGTGTCGGTGGCACAACGGCGTCTGTGGCGACTGCGGTGTGGGCGTCGTCACGCCGCCGGGGATCCAAAACATCTCAAGTATCCGGGCGGCGCGTCGGTAGTGGCGCAGAAACGTGTCAAGACACCCTACCCCACTCTCGAGATAATATTGAGATGCCGACTTGAAGGCGTTGCCCGTGTTGGTTGCAGGAGCATTTTGCCATATTCCGGGAGGAGCTCGACGCGCTACTCCAGCATGCAGGATTGTTTGACGCCCTGCACGAGGCGGAGAGGAATGCCGAGGCACTTTGGCTTGTTGGGTTGCCAGAGTCATCTTTGACCTCCCACCACGAAAGCGCACAGCGCCGCCACCTAAGCTTACTGGGTCCGGGCAGTCAAGGAATGTCAGGGACGTCGGTTTACCTTTTACATTCTGGATAAAATGTCGGCAAGTCTGCAGGTGAAGATCCTTGTGGGGTATGTACCCTAAATATATAGGCTGATTTTGCAAGATACCCAAAAACATCGCATCCAGCATGTTTGGACAATTGGCTTTCCCTTTCTCAACTTGTTTTTACGCTGGTCGACATTGGTTTTGTTCTGCAGAATTTGGGGGTTTACGCTATTCGGGGTACCTTACTGGGGTCCTTCTTATAAGGGAATCCCACTTTTGAGGGGGTCTATTTTAGGGGTCCCCTATTTTCATAAACCCCCCATGGTTATCAGCACTGGTAGGGGCAAGACCATGCCAGAGACACTGACTGGACGGTGCTGGAATTGGCGGACACTCGGGAGGAGGAGCCGTGGAAACTGGCCGCTTGCTCTCAGGTGCCTCGCACTTGCGGCTGAGCGAATGATATGGCAGAGGGTTGTTCCATATTTGGGGTACCCATTTCTAACAGTAAAAAATCCGCAGTTGAGGCCTGTTTTGCGGGCATCTGAGGTAGACTTCTGCAAAGCAGGCCAGGGATTCTTGGTGTCTCTATTGTGTGTGTTTTCTACTTGGGACCGGGAGTCACATCTGACTGAAGCAGTTTGGGGTTTGCAGGCCAGAGTTCCAGTGCGACCACGCCGCCGCGTACATCAACCGCATGCGCCCTGGGGCTTGGATCAAGCCTCACATGGGTGGGCCCCCACGGCTGGTGGCACACCTCGGGCGCCCCGAACTGATACAGCTGAACTGCTTGGTTTCTTTGCTTGTGGTACTTTCTGCATTTCAATTGCTTCCAGCTGTGGAGGCTTGTAGAAAGGTGCACATGATGCGTTGTGCAAGATGCCACCAGGCTGGATGTGCCGGATGCGATGCCCGACAGCAAAAGCTTTGGGTTCTTTTGAGATGAATGCCATTTGGGCAGCCAGATTTTCTAGTCCATTCTGGCCAAGCACGCCGTTTTTCAGATCTGACATGGATGGCAGGCCAATAGAGCTATATGTTGGCACTGCCAAATTGAACTGGGAGACTGGACGGGCCCACGTCATTGATGACACATACCCGCATTCCGCACGGTACTTGGGAGAACATGACGAAGGTGAAGAACGCTGCTAGCGTGGCAACGAGTTGAGATCTCTTTGTGTATACTATACATATATATATATACATATATACAATATATATATATATATATATACAAGAGAATCAATATTCATATTACTATTAATGAAAATACAGGGACTCAAGTTACTCCGAGGCTACATCCTTCATCTGCTCATGTGCCATCCTTGCGAAGAGCAGCAGCGCGCTGCCTACACGGGCCAGGCATCCCCAAAAGCTGGAAGCCTCTCAAAGCCGCCAAAACTTCGCTGGACTTGAAACTGTTTAAACAGGAACATAACTGGAACGAGTGTGAGCGACGGGTGCGAAAGGAACAGCTCATGACACAACATGGTCAGTCTTGCGCGCAGGAGCAGATGTGCGATCCCGGAGCGCATGGCGCGGGTTGAGTTGCGCCTCAACTTCTCTCGCAGAAAATGCTTCGCTGTACGGAGAACACATTCGCTGCTTTGCGGCGCCGACATGCGCCATGCGCTGACTCTGGGCCAAGGGCCGAGCACATTGGCATCATGGGCACATCGACCTGGAGCTTCTGGAACCCTGCCGTACATGAAGTCTATGGGCAAACGGCCGGGCCACTGGCAGGGCGGCTTGTGTTCATGCTTTTGCAGACACTTCCATTAGACTCCGGGCTTGGACGGCGGAGATCCTGGATGTGAAGATGTGGGGGGGCCATCGGTCTGCGCATTTCCCGACCTGAAGTGCGCTTGTCCAGTTCATCCTGGGCACGTTGAATGTTGAATAATGTTGAATATGTGCACAGTAGATCCTTTTCCAGTGCAGAGTCGCATCGACTCGCACAAAGTCGTAGTTAATGAAGCTGAGGCGTTTTCGTTGCAACATGCCTTGTACAGTCGAGATAGCGTTCGTATGGAACCGGCTGCCCACATAACCATGCACATGCCTCGCAGATGCCTCTCGTTCAAGTCCGCTGGTGCCAGGTCTCTTCGGGACACCAACGTGGCTAAGATCGAGGCCCTGAGTCGTGATACAGATTGTCAGCTACTGATTCCGGAAGAGCGATTAAAGGAATCCCATCTGTCTAAGGTAATTAGGTTGCCTCGAAACTGTGTTTAGCACACGTACCAGGCTCAGCTCGATGGCTTTCTGAGCTTCTTGTCGAAGCTCTCCGCGTAACCTAAGCCTCAACAACCTCACTGCGCTCTTGAAGGGGGATAGTAATGGGGATTGCAGGGTTGCGACTACAAGGCGAACCACTTCTAGTAGTGACAGCCTACATGAGGCTACCTAGCGATTAGGTCCTGTGAGCAGAGAAGAAGTTGTGACGGTCGTGCTGGCCGAATGACTTGCATGGTGCCGTTCAGGGAGACGACCTCAAGATTTTCATGGGCTTGCTGGCAGACCTTTTCCCCGGAGTGCAGGCACCTGTGCTTCAACGAATGCATGTCGGTCGCGCCGTCATTCGGAAGCTTAGTGTGTGCGACGGGCAGGTTCCGCGGGCACGAGACTACGACTTCGAACAGGTCTGTGTGGAGGCAGGATGTGGAAGCTGAGTGTCGAACATCGCTACTCCGGCTCTGCGCAGGTGATGGAGAGTGACTTCGGCTACACCAACGATCCTGATGGGTGAGTGCCTGAGTTAATAGGCAAATAAGTACGTCTCACTAATGACACCCGGATCTGGGTGATGGAATGCTATCCAGGTATCTGCTTCTGAAGATCTCCCAGCTTATCGAACTCTTGGAGATTCGGCACTCCGTCTTTTTGATGGGTGTGGCCCTGAGCATCACAGCAGCTCTTCCTTGCCTTCGCGACCAGATCGTGCCAGGGTAGCTGATGACTTGGTGCTTTGGCCTATCTTGCTTCCATGGTCACGCCACGAATCTTTGAGGCAATCCCGGTAGCTTCAAGTCATTCCTCTGGAAAGTCCTGAAGAATGCAAAGACTCGGGTCGGCGGTGAGCTTAGCATGCATGTATTGCAAAACCCTCGAAGGTTTTCACTGGAGCCGCAAAAGCGGTCATATCAATCCTCCACACCACCCTGTTAGCCGCCGTCTGAGGTGACAAGACCACCGTCGTGGACTTCAGCCCGAAAGCCATCACCACCAACGAGCTTTACGGAAGTGTGAACATGGCCGCTGCCTCGACAGAGCAAGTCCATCTACAAGTACAGTAGTCAGTAGCATAGTAAAGCCTCAACATATCTTGCCGATGGTGCTGAGTACACGCGCGAGTGGAAAGACGGCATCCTCTCCAAGACCATGCGCGACCTGGGGCCAGCTTTGCATGTGGAAGCTCTGCTGTTGACATCCTCTTGCCTGATGGGGAGGAGCAGCATCAGCCTGCCAGGCTGGTTCCAGATACTCACCCGAAATGGATCATGCTGGACGGTGACTTGGATGCTAACTGGATTGAATCCATGAACAGCGCCGCAGCCTTGGCAGAGCTACTTTGGCTCGCTTGGACTTTGTGAGATGCAGAGGAGCGATGCTTAGGTCATGGATGATAGCAGGCCTGGATCATCTTTTGGTGTCGGAGTGACTGTAGTGCTGATGCTGCTGCAAGGCTCCTAACTCTCCCCTCGAACGAGCGAATTCCGCTCAAGGCGGTTCATGTCAATGTTGGCAGACCACTTTGCTGGGCGTGTGACGCCAGATGCATATGAAGATGATCTTCGAGATTCGGGACCTGAATTATGCAACCCCTGCCACAGCAACGAGAGCCGGCATAGCCGTGAGCCAAGCCTCCAGCTGCTTGTGTGATAGCCTGGCGTACGCGAAATGCCTTCGATGACGGCCGAAGGATGGTCGAACGGCATTAAGTTAACGGAGAATAGCTTACTCGTCCTGTGCTGCGTGGTTTCATGCCATCAAGAGGTACTCAAGGGGCATATAGCTGGGCATTGCATCGCTAGCAATACTCACTTGCTCCTTGAAGTTTAAATCGGCGTGTCTAGTTCATGGTATCATTGTCAGAAAGGTTTCCAGGATGCAACCTTGGTATCCGTCTGGTCTTCTAGAATTTCCACTCGCACGCCTACAAACTGCTACAGGAATATTTAACCTGAAGTTCAGCCCGGGATGCCCTCGGGTACCGACATGAGCCATACCGGGGGCGGATGTTGTGCTTCACAAGCTAGGTGTCATCTTGCTGGATTGGCAACTACAGGGAGCAAGAGCCGAGGTGTGCATGTCGGACAAAGAGGGCGTCCAGTGGCAATGCTATGTGAATTCTTGGATCAAGAAGTGTGCATATCCAGAACCCTTCAAGGCACCGCAAGTACTTCTAGCAAGCAGCTAGCATAAGTTCTCGCATGAGCGGAGAGCACGTGCAGGAGCAGCTTGCACTCCTCTTCGACAAGTACTGCTCCACTACCCTTGCCTGGATACGCAAGTCTGCCAAGATTCAGGCACATGATGGCTCTGAAGAACTGTGCAGGGATGAGCCCACCAGCCCAGCCGCGGCGTAGAACCTGCGTCGCCCAGACCTAGCACTGATAGCCGATAATCATATTTTGCAAGAACCGTTCCGGGGTTCCTGTGGGCAGGTTCCCTACGTGGAGGTTGCCCTGATCTCCGCGCTGTGCAGCCTGCTGGATGCCCGCCTGCCCTCCCACAATCTGGAGGCAGAAGCGGAAGTTGACCTGGCGCTGTTTGGGGAGAAGTGCCTTTCTGGAATAAACACTCTTTGGGGTACAGCTCTCCTCTTGCATTCCTGCCAAAGGTGGCCTTAGACTTCATCCCGGAAACCTGGAACTTCCGAACCTCAGCCCTTTCTTTGCAGAGGCCGTGGAGGCTTGGTTCGTCTTCTGCACCATCTTTGCCACCGGCAGCAGTCTTGCCGAAGCGTGAGCCCAAGAGCTGATGCTTCTGCAGGGATGCTCGCAGAAGAGCCAAGCACCTGAGGTTGATGGAATCGACTACCGGAAGGCTTTCAGCACCTGGTGGAAGAACGAGATGAAGACCATCAAGTGCCTGGGCTTCTTTTGCCAGAGCTGTGCTGCAACAGCTGTGCAGCAAACTGGTGCAACGCAATCGGCCAGGTACCCGACGAAGGGGCTCGTGTTTGACTTGTATGTCCGGGATTCGAGGCTTCAAGAGCTTTGCTGCTGGAGAGCTGCATATCCTGTTCGCCGCCCCCTATCTGTCAAAGGCTGGAGGAGTGGGGCAGCCTCGTCGAGCCCCTGCAGTGCGCCAGTAAATATAAGAAGAGGTAGAACTGGTAGTGGAAATAGAAATATAGGGACACGTAGATGATTCGGCAAATTTGTATATGCTCATATATTATATGCATGAGTAATTAAATGGACAACAAATAAACCGATAATGGAAAATTAGAATATATGCAAGTAGCTGTAAACCAAAAATAGTGAATACGACAATAGGGAAACAGTAAACAGCTAGACGAATAGAAATAAGCCACTCAAGCGAATGCGAAACGCATGCATGGTGGTACAGTGACTGGCTAAGTGCGCCAGTGTTGTGCAAGGTACCGAAGCACAACTCCCATGGGGGAGGTCACTGTGTCTGCTTCTCAGATGTGAGCTTTCAGGGTATTATAATTATAATTATTATTATTCTGATGTTTATTATTAATGTATGTAATGTATATATATATATATACACATAATATTACCCACGTGGATGCGAATCCTTTGCAGTCTGTGTCTCAGGCCGACTACGGAAACGGTCTGCCTGGACTACTTCATGAAAGCATTGATTGAGGCAACCGGACGGAAATGATGTATGGAGTGGATGCAATGGCATAGTGCCCTAAACTAAACCAAGCCCTAAACCCCAAACCTGCACCTGCTAGGTGAACCATCCGGTGATGCTTATTGGTCTCGCTGGCTGCGGCATCCTGCTCAGAATTTCTGTTCTGGTATGACTCAGGAACATGCAGCTTGCTTGGCTGGACTCGATGCCTTTGCTCGTGCAATGTATGCCAAGTGTGAGGGTGCAAGGCTAGCGTCTAGCATGCAGTAGACTAGGAACCGGGTGATGTACCGATACCCAAACCTCCTTGCATTGGATGGGAAGGCAAGACGCAGTCCTGCACTGGTCTGTTGAAGCGGCTGGATCATGAGGCTCGGCCAGACCATTGTCACGTCTGTCAGCTGTGTTCTCACCTGTTGACCGTATGTGCAGATCACAAGAACCTTGCTGCATGAACTGCAAGTGGTTGCGAAGGTCTTCATGGGCTACAAGATGAACATGTGGTTCAGCAGCATTGGGCTGCACCTGTAAGGAAGCAGCCTCTTCCCCCTCCCGCCCAGGAGCTACTACACGGACTCCACCATGCTTCAAACGATGATGGAGATTCCGCTTGAGAAGAAGGCGCCACAACAGAGAAGTATGCGCTTTGCACATCCATCCACAGCAAAGCCGAGATCTTGAGAATGAAGCTACTATGAAGCAAAGCATCGCTCCTGGAGGCCGGAAAGCTGTATGCTCCTCCTGGCAAGCTTCAGCTGATCTACTTCATTGATGATCTGAACATGCCGGGCTCCCACCGAGGCCAGGTTTTTTTAGGAGTTGCAGATCAGGGTTTGCTGCACACCAAGGCCGGCCCTGGACAAGTACAACACGCAGTCTGCAATCGAGCTGATTAAGCAGAAGCAGGAGAAGAACTGGGGAGGGAGTCGAAGAGTCGAAGATCTCCGGCCCCACGCCCCTTGATTTGAGGGAATGTGCTGTGAAGCATTCTTTCTCTAGCAGCCTGTAAGCTATAAGTTTGTTTGTTGTTTTAATACACCCCCACCCCCTGCCCCCCCAGGGCCAAGTGGTTGTCATTGTGACAGGGGAACATTCGAGGTTCCGAAGCATGCTGGGACTCTTTAGCTGCGTACTGGCTGCCACATCATACCCCATCCGGTCTCACAGGACTACAGCCACTGGTATGACCGGGTCAAGATCCAAGTCAAAGACATTGGTGGCACGCAGTGACCTGTGCGGTAGCACTGCAAGAACACTGCGCATGCAAGGTACTCGCGTCTCAAGGTAACAGTCGCAGAGCATTCTAAAGCTAAACTTGCAACGGCCCGCCGGATCCCATCGACCCGCACACCTTTTGCACAACGAGCAACCGAAATCCTGTTTAAAGTTGGCCAGACGCATCTGCGTGCCTTCTATGCAGGAATCCTGCTGCCCGCATGGGACTCTTCCTGAGCAACAACTCTAACACAGATGTCCTGGCAGGTACCTCTGCTGCATGAACCCAACGGCTGGTTCTTTCACTGTGAATCCGCGTCTTCAGCGTCATTTCTGGACGGGAATGATGTGTGCTGTGCCGTGCTGGATACACTTGTTGCCGTTTGGCCTTCTGAACTGCGGCACCTGCATACGAGCTCTGCTGGAGATCTCTTGATGGTTCTTGTTCAGAAAGTCTTCAATGTCTTGGGACCGTTTAGAGCTCTGGAGCCTTAAGGCCCAGTGTGTCCCGATCTGGGGTCCATCCGAAAACCTCCTTCATGCTCATGGTTTTTTCGTGTCCGTGAGGACCAGCTCCGTTCAATTCCCAGAACAGCCACGGACTGAGAAGTCTCAAAATTCTCACGAGCATCGAGAGTGCCAGGGCACGTAGACTGGCACACCTCCGCTTGATGATCAATTCCCGCACTGGCAATGCAATGCAATGCAATGTGCCGCCCGGTGGGTTGAGGAATGCCTTGAACTTGATCTACTCCACCTTCATGAAAGGCCACTTCGACACGCTCTCCTTCAAGGCCCGCCAGAAGACCCCCTAGTGATTACATGTGGGGGTTTCCGAAAAATAGGGGTAATCTGTTCGGGGGTTCCTATTATAAGGTTTGTAGTGTTTTTTGGGGTATAGTAGGGGTACCCCCTATGTTGGGACATGCCCATTTAATGGCCAAGAGTCCTGGTCCAAGGTGCCGGTGCAGGAGATCTCAAACTGGGTCATCAAAGCTGCCCTCAACTTCCACACCCAGGCATGGGGTTTAGGGTTTAGGGTTTAGGGTTTAGGGTTTAGGGTTTAGGGTTTAGGGTGCAGTGGTAGATAGTGGTATGCGCCTGGGGCATTTTCGAGCCTCATGGCTGACAGGTCAGCGCCACTTTCAGGAAGACTGCGCAGAACATGCACTACGAGCTTCAATCTGAGTGCAAGAGCAACAGAGTGACTGGCCAGTGGTGTGTGACGGACTCGCAATTTTAGTATGGCTTCATAGGCATGGCTTGCCGCAGAGTTGTACCCTAAGGTTCAATATCCGCCACATGAGTGGCGTCTTCTCCGGCCTCCTCAAGGTGTGAGAGTGCCTAGGAGGATTGCTTGCTTATGAACCCCCACATTAGCCCACATGAATTAGCTTACAGCTGCTGCATTACAGAATGCTGGCAGTCGAAGCCAAGCGAGTTCATGGATGCGGAGAAGCTTGTTCTCTTGTGGACAGGGCCCAAGCTGGGTTCGTGACATGGCAGTTCAGAATGTTATGGGCCGTTGAGGCCACACATTGCATGGACCCGGAACCCTAAACATTGCCCTTAAGACCCTCAACCTCTAAACACACGACACTGCTAGGATTCACGAAAGCGAGCGCATCTACGGCGATCGTCTGGTGTCCATGGCCGACCTCAGGAAGCCGAAGACTCAGACAACTGGCGCTTCAGGTATTTGGGGGTTGAGGATCGAACGTCAGAGTTTGGTGTATGGTAAGGTCATCTTGAAAGGACAATGCTACATAGGCTTAGATCCGGCCGGCTCACAGACGCAGATTCCGGTTCCAGGGCTTGACGGAGCTTATGCAACATGGGACCCGTGCGACTTGCGATGCAAAACCGAAGATCGTAAACTGGATGTGGCGCTCTCATGGCGAGTCGTCCTGACTGCAAGGCTGCGACAGCTTACGGAGAAGATCGCGAAGCAGATGTTTTCGAAGCACAACCTGCAGAAGTACTTCCAGGCAGCTCGCCTTTCTGCCACTATGCACCGTGCATTCCACGTAGAAACTCCATGAAGCGCAAGGAGAAGAATCCTGAGCCCATCGTGTTTGCGCCCTTCTCGCGAGCCAGCCTGACTGCTTTGTGCGTGCCCTTGTATTCGGCACCAGCTCTAGTGACTCCAGTGCTATAGTGGAACATGGCAGGGACATCAGAACATGGACGATGGTGGTGTGTATGACAAGATCAAGGCCCTCCATCATGCGGCAAATGCCAATCCAAATCTCGTCGAACACTGAAAAGCGCATTTTCTGCGTAGTGCCGGCAGGACATGGAGCGATTGTCGCAAATTCTGCAGGAGGCCTCTTTGCTCGCCTTGCGCGGCTTCCCAATACTTGCCAAAGCTGCTGTGTTGCATCGGCGCTCACGTCGCTCGGGCTGTCACATGCCCTCCGCCGGGTAGCTTTCTGGTCACATGCCCTCAAACGCTTGCAAAACCCCTCGCCCCAGTGATTGCACAGATGTGACGAGGCGGGAGGCGAGCATCATGAGCATCAGCCGGTAGCTTTCTGCTCACATGCCTCCCCAAGCTGCGAACGCTTGCAAAACCCCTCGCCCCAGTGATTGCACAGATGTGACGAGGCGGGAGGCGAGCATCATGAGCATCAGCCGGTAGCTTTCTGGTCACATGCCCTCCCCAAGCTGCGAACGCTTGGCAAAACCCCTCGCTCCAGTGATTGCACAGATGTGACGAGGCGGGAGGGCCGGGTAGCTTTCTGGTCACATTGCCGTCAAGCGCTTGCAAAACCACTCGCCCCAGTGATTGCACAGATGTGACGAGGCGGGAGGCGAGCATCATGAGCATCAGCCGGGTAGCTTTCTGGTCACATGCCCTCCCCAAGCTGCGAACGCTTGGCAAAACCCCTCGCCCCAGTGATTGCACAGATGTGACGAGGCGGGAGGGCCGGGTAGCTTTCTGGTCACATTGCCGTCAAGCGCTTGCAAAACCACTCGCCCCAGTGATTGCACAGATGTGACGAGGCGGGAGGCGAGCATCATGAGCATCAGCCGGGTAGCTTTCTGGTCACATGCCCTCCCCAAGCTGCGAACGCTTGCAAAACCCCTCGCCCCAGTGATTGCACAGATGTGACGAGGCGGGAGGCGAGCATCATGAGCATCAGCCGGGTAGCTTTCTGGTCACATGCCCTCAAACGCTTGCAAAACCCCTCGCCCCAGCGATTGCACAGATGTGACGAGGCGGGAGGCGAGCATCATGAGCATCAGCCGGTAGCTTTCTGGTCACATGCCCTCCCCAAGCTGCGAACGCTTGCAAAACCCCTCGCTCCAGTGATTGCACAGATGTGACGAGGCGGGAGGCGAGCATCATGAGCATCAGCCGGGTAGCTTTCTGGTCACATGCCCTCAAGCGCTTGCAAAACCACTCGCCCCAGTGATTGCACAGATGTGACGAGGCGGGAGGCGAGCATCATGAGCATCAGCCGGTAGCTTTCTGGTCACATGCCCTCCTCAAGCTGCGAACGCTTGCAAAACCCCTTGCCCCAGTGATTGCACAGATGTGACGAGGCGGGAGGCGAGCATCATGAGCATCAGCCGGTAGCTTTCTGGTCACGTGCCCTCCCCAAGCTGCAAACGCTTGCAAAACCCTTTGCCCCAGTGATTGCACAGATGTGACGAGGCGGGAGGCGAACATCATGAGCATCAGCCGGGTAGCTTTCTGGTCACATGCCCTCCCCAAGCTGCGAACGCTTGCGAAACCCCCCGCTCCAGTGATTGCACAGGTGTGACGAGGCGGGAGGCGAGCATCATGAGCATCAGCCGGTAGCTCTCTGGTCACCTGCCCTCCCCAAGCTGCAAACGCTTGCAAAACCCTTCGCCCCAGTGATTGCACAGGTGTGACGAGGCGGGAGGCGAGCATCATGAGCATCAGCCGGGTAGCTTTCTGGTCACATGCCCTCAAGCGCTTGCAAAACCACTCGCCCCAGTGATTGCACAGATGTGACGAGGCGGGAGGCGAGCATCATGAGCATCAGCCGGGTAGCTTTCTGGTAACATGCCCTCCCCAAGCTGCAAACACTTGCAAAGCCCTTCGCCCCAGTGATTGCGCAGATGTGACGAGGCGGGAGGCGAGCATCATGAGCATCAGCCGGGTAGCTTTCTGGTCACATGCCCTCCCCAAGCTGCAAACGCTTGCAAGACCCTTCGCCCCAGTGATTGACGAGGCGGGAGGCGAGCATCATGAGCATCAGCCGGTTAGCTTTCTGGTCACATGCCCTCCCCAAGCTGCAAACGCTTGCAAGACCCTTCGCCCCAGTGATTGACGAGGCCGGAGGCGAGCATCATGAGCATCAGCGGGGTAGCTTTCTGGTCACATGCTGCAAACTCTTGCAAGACCCTTTGCCCCAGTGATTGACGAGGCGGGAGGCGAGCATCATGAGCATCAGCGGGGTAGCTTTCTGGTCACATGCCCTCCCCAAGCTGCAAACGCTTGCAAGACCCTTTGCCACAGTGATTGACGAGGCGGGAGGCGAGCATCATGAGCATCAGCCGGGTACTGGGTGGTTGACCTAAGGCGTCTCGCGCAGGCAAAAGGCGTCTCATCAGGGCGTCACACTGCAGTTTTCTAGTATGGCGCAGATATCTTCATGACACGTGGGCGTCCCGCCAGGGCGTCCCCTTGCAGTTTTCTGTTCCGACACATTCCTTAATCTACAAATCTTTTGGGGTCTCGCGTAGGTGTCACAAGGCAGTTGTCCAGCATGTGGCGGATGTCTCACGGCAGCTGTAAAACCCGCACCCCTCCCGTAACCTGCCACAGGCCCTGTGCTCAACCTACCGCATTAAAGTCTATAGTTCTGACACTGAACCCCACACCCCTTAAATTCGCGCAAGGTTTGCGGGGTTCCGGTTCAATGGACTTTTGATATCATAAACCGTTTGCATCGCACTGTTCGGTCGGGAACGGACACACTCAGCCCTTTGTGTTTCGCTATGTTGCGCAAGTAGTCTGGCAAGGCGTCACATTGGGGTTTCAGGGTGCATCGTCGTCCGAAATCCTTTAGAATCGGTACTCTGCGCTCGGTCTCGCATGCATTTTGCTTGTTTGTTGCTATGTTGCAAAAAGTAGTAGCCTGGTAAGGGCGTCTCCCTGGGGATTAGCTTTCTGGGGTCGCCTTTTGCACGCATGGGTTGCCTTTTGCATTCAGGGGCGTCTACTTGGGGTGAGTCGCCTTTTGCCCTCGTGGGTCGCCTTAGGGCGGGCACCCAGTAGCTTTCTGGTCACATGCCCTCCCCAAGCTGCAAACGCTTGCAAAACCCCTCGCCCCACTGATTGCGCGGATATGACGAGGCGGGAGGCGAGCATCATGAGCATCAGCCGGGAAGCTTTCTGGTCACATGCCCTCCCCAAGCTGCAAACGCTTGCAAAACCCTTCGCCCCAGTGATTCAGATGTGACGAGGCGGGAGGCGAGCATCATGAGCATCAGCCGGGAAGCTTTCTGGTAACATGCCCTCCCCAAGCTGCAAACGCTTGCAAAACCCCTCGCCCCAGTGATTCAGATGTGACGAGGTGGGAGGCGAGCATCATGAGCATCAGCCGGGTAGCTTTCTGGTCACATGCCCTCCCCAAGCTGCAAACGCTTGCAAAACCCCTCGCCCCAGTGATTCAGATGTGACGAGGCGGGAGGCGAGCATCAGCCGGGAAGCTTTCTGGTAACATGCCCTCCCCAAGCTGCAAACGCTTGCAAAACCCCTCGCCCCAGTGATTCAGATGTGACGAGGCGGGAGGCGAGCATCATGAGCATCAGCCGGGTAGCTTTCTGGTCACATGCCCTCCCCAAGCTGCAAACGCTTGCAAAACCCCTCAGCCCCAGTGAGTCAGTATGTTACGAGGCTGGAGTGGCGAGCATCATGAGCATCATCGGAAAGCTCTGGTAAGATCCTCCCCCAGCTGCAAACGCTTGCAAACCCCTCGCCCCAGTGAATTCAGATGATGACGAGGCCGGATGCGAGCATCATGAGCATCAAGCCGGGTGCTTTCCTGTTCACGATGCCCCTCCCCAAGCTTGCAAACTCTTGCAAACACCCCTCGCCCCAGTGAATTCAGATGTGACGAGGCGTGAGGCGAGGCATCATGAGCCATCAGCCGTGTCACTTTCTGGTCCACGCCCTCCCAAGCTGCAACGCTTGCAAAACCCCTCGCCCCAGTGATTCAGATGTGACGAGGCGGGAGGCGAGCATCATGAGCATCAGCCGGGTAGCTTTCTGGACACATGCCCTCCCCAAGCTGCAAACGCTTGCAAAACCCCTCGCCCCAGTGATTCAGATGTGACGAGGGGGGAGGCGAGCATCATGAGCATCAGCCGGGTAGCTTTCTGGTCACATGCCCTCCCCAAGCTGCAAACGCTTGCAAAACCCCTCGCCCCAGTGATTCAGATGTGACGAGGCGGGAGGCGAGCATCATGAGCATCAGCCGGGAAGCTTTCTGGTAACATGCCCTCCCCAAGCTGCAGCCGCTTGCAAACCCTTCGCCCCAGTGATTGCGCAGATGTGACGAGGCGGGAGGCGAGCATCATGAGCATCAGCCGCGTAGCTTTCTTTTCACATGCCCTCCCCAAGCTGCAAGCGCTTGCAAAACGCGTCGCCCCAGTGATTGCACAGATGTGACGAGGCGGGAGGCGAGCATCATGAGCATCAGCCGGGTAGCTTTCTGGTCACATGCCCTCCCCAAGCTGCAAACGCTTGCAAAACCCCTCGCCCCAGTGATTCAGATGTGACGAGGCGGGAGGCGAGCATCATGAGCATCAGCCGGGTAGCTTTCTGGTAACATGCCCTCCCCAAGCTGCAAACGCTTGCAAAACCCCTCGCCCCAGTGATTCAGATGTGACGAGGCGGGAGGCGAGCATCATGAGCATCAGCCGGGTAGCTTTCTGGTCACATGCCCTCCCCAATCTGCAAACGCTTGCAAAACCCCTCGCCCCAGTGATTCAGATGTGACGAGGCGGGAGGCGAGCATCATGAGCATCAGCCGGGTAGCTTTCTGGTCACATGCCCTCCCCAAGCTGCAAACGCTTGCAAAACCCCTCGCCCCAGTGATTCAGATGTGACGAGGCGGGAGGCGAGCATCATGAGCATCAGCCGGGTAGCTTTCTGGTCACATGCCCTCCCCAAGCTGCAAACGCTTGCAAAACCCCTCGCCCCAGTGATTCAGATGTGACGAGGCGGGAGGCGAGCATCATGAGCATCAGCCGGGTAGCTTTCTGGTCACATGCCCTCCCCAAG